ATGGTAACGATAACCCTATATGCAAAACAGAAAAAGAGACTCAGATGTATAGAACAGACTTGTGGACTCTGGGAGAAGGCGAGGGTGGGATGTTTCAAGAGAACAGCATCGAAACATGTATATTATCTAGGGTGAAACAGATCACCAGCCCAGGTGGATGCATGAGACAAGTGCTCGGGCCTGGTGCACTGGGAAGACCCAGAGGGTTCCGGTGGAGAGGGAGGTGGGAGGGGGGGACCGGGATGGGGAATACATGTAAATCCATGGCTAATTCATTTCAACGTATGACAAAAACCACTGCATTGCTGTAAAGTAATTAGCCTCCAACTAATAAAAATAAATGGAAAAAAAAAAGCAATAAAAAGTCAGATCCCAGCTGAGGAGAGGTATAAAACAACTGAGTGTGGTGAAAACAAGCAACATAACTCAGTTTAGGGAAGAAAAAAAAGGCACTATGGGTTAGAGCTCAGAAACTTCAGAAGGTCACCCAACTTCCCGATCAAGCTTGAGAGAATACAGCTTGTCAAAGCACCAACGCCCACCGCCCTGTCTACTGAAGCCCAGGAGCCACCTGGCCCCCGAGGAGGAGTTGGAAGTGAATGGCTGCTCTCAGCTCCTGGATTCAGGTTTGGGGCCAACAGAAAATCCACCATCAGCCTCGCTGTGCCCAGAACAGACCTGTAACTGCTCCTAGAGGGACTGCCAGCGCCAACAGTGTCCCCGTGACTGTCTTCCGTTCACTGGACTCCAGTACTGTTCCCTCTCCAATGGGCGCCCACCAGAGCCCCCAACTCCAGAGGCAACACATCCACGAGCCACAGTCTGTTTCACGTAACATTTCTCTTTACCCTCTGTCCTTAACTGACAGCTAGCTCTTTCTGATGACAATGATTCTTTATCTCTTGGACAGGGGAGGCCCTCCAGTTTCCACAGCCCCACTGGTCCTCACGGCACAGAAGCCCAGTGAATCTCACCATCGAAACCCAACTCAGTCTTTGGTCGGTGACCTGCCTCATGTTACGATCCCTCTGTTCTGCCATTAAGCACAGCTACCCCAGCCTCCACCCCCACCCTAGGAGACTTTCTCTGATGCTATCTACAGCCTCCCAGTGACTCACCCCTCACCGCCTAACTCTGGGCAACACAGTCTCTCTCTGAGGCAAATCCTGCCACTGCTACAGGGGTGTCTACTGCAATTCAGTAACCTGGTGTCTCAGACACTCAGCTTCCCTCAGTTCAGTTCATTCACTCAGTCGTGTTCAACTCTTTGTGACCCCATGAACCGCAGCACGCCAGGCCTCCCTGCCCATCACCAACTCCCGGAGTTTACTCAAACTCATGCCCATCGAGTCGGTGATGCCATCCAGCCATCTCATCCTCTGACGTCCCCTTCTCCTCCTGCCCCCAATCCCTCCCAGCATCAGGGTCTTTTCCAATGAGTCAACTCTTCGCATGAGGTGGCCAAAGTATTGGAGTTTCAGCTTCAGCATCAGTCCTTCCAATGAACACCCAGGACTGATCTCCTTTAGGATGGACTGGTTGGATCTCCTTGCAGTCCAAGGGACTCTCAAGAGTCTTCTCCAACACCACAGTTCAAAAGCATCAATTCTTCTCATTTCCCCACAAACCTGGCCTCTGCTCTCCACTGGGTACCTGATCCCAGAGCCTGAGCCCGAATACCACCATCACGTCTGAACTCAGAAACAGAGTCTCCACTTTCCAGCTTATTCACACAGGCAAATCCCACCATGTTCTTCAATGGAACCAACTGTCAAGTTCTTTAAACACTTTGCTTATATGTAAACATCCCCACCATCCTCACTTCCTTCAACTAGTCCAGCATCTATTTCTTGGTCCTCACATCAACATCTCTCTGCCGATACCCTCCAATATCCCATCTTTGTCACAGCAGCTTAGAAAAACCTCAGAGCCTGAAAAATACATTTGCTCAATTTTTCTATAATCACAGTCAGGTCACTAACAGCAGTGGAAGAAAAATAACAGAACCCCGTGGATTCGTGGCTCCATCAAGTCAGGATCTCACACCTCACTCAGTGAAGCCCTCACCAGGGTCCTCGCCACAGTGCCCTGTTCATCAGGGGTCTCTCCTACGCTCCACCACAGGTACTTCCATCCCCACTGCTCCCCTCAAGCCTCTTTCCCAGACATCTGCTTCTTAGCAAACGATCTCCTCTCAGCTTCAGGGAAAAGGGAAGTTTTCGTAGGACTCTCCGGGCTTCCTAGCAACCAATCCACCCCCATACTTCTGCCCACAGGCACCCTTCCATCCTTCCTCCTGGGGCCTTAGGATAATCACACTTCCCATACCCTGGATCCCATGCTCTCCTCCTCCTTCCCAGGCACTCCTTTTCCTCCTTATCTTTAACCTCTCCCTTTTTCATTGCAAATAGGAAGCAACAGGTAAGTATTTGCATCTCTTCCATCCTACGAGCAAAAGCACCCAACTCCTCTCTGGTCCTGAACCCCCTCTGACCGTCTCCTTCATTCTCGCCCTCCCTTCCCCATCTAC